GGTCATAACTGAGGTAAATTGGCAGAGGTATTTAGGGATTTTTTCTCCACCACCTTCCAGCACTCTGCATTACAAAAACAACACACAAGACACTAAAGAAAAAAATCGCAGCCAAAATTTGCCTCATCCCATTTCACTCCAAGCGTGTATTTTTTAACCTCCCCAAAAGTCTTATCAGACAAATAACATTTGAAGCTGTAGCAGGATGGGCCCTGGGGTGGCTGTGGCACGCCCTAGGACCACCCAAATCATCCTGCCCACACTCCTAGTCCTCTATATAACTTCCCCATTTATCTCTCCTGCCACATTTTGATGTTTCATTGATCTTAATTAGGAGGCTGCCCCTGAATCCCAGGATGTCCACACAGGTGCTTTGCCTAACCTGACTGCTCACTTGTTGCTGGGACCCCTGGTGCTGCTTCCAGCGAAGCAGAGGCTGGGAGATAAGGATCTCTCAGCCCTTGCTCCCTGATTGTGATCTTGGAGAAGGGGGGCTTCGAGCTCCCTGCTGTCAGGGCAGGGGGCTATAGTCCCCACCCCAGCAGAAGGCAGCTCCTGGGGGGCAGGGAGCAATCTCTCACGCCACTGTGGTTGGCTGACTGGGAACAGATTTGCTTTTGGTCAGGCATCTAAATGAGCACTATTACTCACTAACTAATCCCAAGTAAATTTTCTGCTTGCTTTTGCAGGTAGGAAATTTACTCATGATCAGCGAAGTTTACTGAGCAGTAAGCATGTGCACGTGTAGATGCACATACTTACTATGTAGTAATCTATGCTACTGCACAGTAAACATCTGATGTAGACGCACCCTTTATGTAGGCAAGTCTGCTTAAATGTATAGGATTTTCCCTGGTTTTTTTATTATTAGAACATTTTGTGAAAAAAAAAGATTTAGTTTTCAAGAGTTCACTGGTTCATAACGCACACTCCCATTTGAAGTCCTAGCTTACAACAGAATAGCCCAGATACCCCTTCATTAAGTCACTAGCACTCAGCTCCTACAAGGCTTAGAGGAGTTAGAATAGAATACTGTCCTTAGCCTACACTGCAGCTTCACTGAGGGGAAGATAAATATGTTTCCCATTTAGTCCACTGTGACCCCCCCTCAAGTTACTGGCTAAGTTGATACATATATTCCTCTCCAAATTGCCTAGAAAGGAATGTTCAGATTGAGGAGGTGTCTTCTGTATAGAATTAACATCTTTCTCCTGTGCTAGAGTGAATCTTAGCCTCATGTTAGCATGCTCTCAGAAAATTACAACAGAAGTGAGCTTAATGCTGTGCAAAGTGTCCTCTAGAGGCAGCGAAGAGCTAAATTCAGTGGATGATGAATGATACACTGGTAAAAGTGAACTTGTAACATTCCCAACACGTGTATTTTGTTATGGTCGTGAAGTCATCAGCAGAATCATAGGAATTATTTGTCACCTGGATCAGAAAGCTGGTTTGACACCGGTTCAACTCAGAAGCTCAAAACAAGACCCAAGAAGCTGTTATATGTATTGTCACTGCCAAGCAGTATAGAGTCAGCCTACACAGTAAACAAGCGGTTAGTATTGGTCGCTATCCCTTCTTTGGAGTCTGTCACCTGTGTTCCTGTTATTCTGTCCAATGGAATAAGTGCATCTGGAAATTAAAGTTCCTTCTACTTCGTTCCTTCTATTTGGACAGTTTGTTCTACTTGGACAAACAGCTAGGGAGGAGTATAAGAGTATTGCTCAAGCATGCGGGGATAAAGTCAGGAAGTCCAAAGTACAATTGGAGTTGCAGCTAGCAAGGCATGTGAAGGGTGATAAGAAGGGTTTCTACAAGTATGTCGGTAGCAAGAGGAGGATCAGGGTCCCTTACTGAATGGGGGAGGCAACCTTGTGACAGAGGATGCAGAAAAGGCTGAAATGCTCAGTGCCTTCTTTGCCTCAGTCTTCACAGGCAAGGTCAGCTCCCAGACTACTATGCTGGGCAGCACAGTATAGGGAGGAGGTGAGTAGCCCATAGTGGTGGAAGAACAGTTAGGGACTATTTAGAAAAGCTGGACATGTAAAAGTCCATGGGGCTGGACGAGATGCACCCAAGGGTGCTGAGGGAGTTGGCCAATGTGATTGCAGAGCCACTGGCTATCATCTTTGAAAACTCATGGTGACCAGGAGAGGTCCTGGATGATTGGAAAAGGGCAAACATAATGCCCATGTTTAAGAAAGGGAAAAAGGAGGATCCAGGGAACTACAGACTCACCTCAGTCCTTGGAAAAATGATGGAGCAGATCCTCAAGGAATCCATTTCTAAGCATTTGGAGGAAAAGAAGCTGATTAGGAACAGCCAGCATGGATTCACTAGGGGCAAATCATTCCTGACCAAACTGATTACCTTCTATGATGAGGTGACTGGATTTATGGATGCGGGGAGACCAGTGGATGTGGTATACCTTGATTTTAGCAAGGCTTTTGATACAGTCTCCCACAACATTCTTGCAGGCAAGCTAAGGAGTGCAGGCTGGATGAATGGACTGTAAGGTGGATAGAAAATTGGCTGGAGCATTGGGCTCAGAGAGTAGTAATCAATGGCTTGATGTCTAGTTGGCAGTCAGTATCAAGTGGAGTGCCCCAGGGGTCAGTCCTGGGGCTGGTTTTGTTCAGTGTCTTCATCAATGATCTGGAAGATGGCATAGAGTGCACACTCAGCAAGTCTTCAGATGACACCAAACTGGGGGGAGGGGAGGGCTAGGATTCAGAGTGACCTAGACAGATTGGAGGATTGGGCCAAAAGGAATCTCATGAGGTTCAATGAGGACAAGTGCAAAGTCCTGCACTTAGCATGGAAGAATCCCATGGATGAGTACAGGCTAGGGGCTGACTGGCTGGGCAGCAGCTCTGCAGAAAAGGACCTGGGAGGAACAGTTGACAATAAGCTGAATATGAGCCAACAGTGTGCCCTTGTTGCCAGAAGGCTAACAGTATACTGGGCTGCATTGGTAGGTGTTTTGCCAGCAGTTGAAGGGAAGTGATTATTCACCTCTATTCAGCACTGGTGAGGCCACATCTGGAGTACTGTGTCCAGTTTTGAGCCCCCCAGTACAGAAAGGATGTGACAAATTGGAGAGAGTCCAGCGGATGGCAACAGAAGTGGTGAGGGGGCTGGGGGCAATGCCTTATGAAGAGAGGCTGAGAGAACTAGGTTTATTTAGTCTAGAGAAAAGACTGAGGGGGGATTTGATAGCAGCCTTCAACTACCTGAAGGGGGGTTCAAAAAGAGGATGGAGTTAGACTGTTCTCAGTGGTGGTAGATGACAGAACAAGGAACAGTGGTCTCAAGTTGCAGCAAGGGAAGTTTAGGTTAGATATTAGAAAGAATTTGCTCACTAGGTGGGCAGTAAAGCACTGGAACAGGTTACCCAGAGAGGTGGTGGAATCTCTGTCCTCGGAGGTTATCAAGACCTGACTAGACAAAACTGGCTGGGATGATCTAGCTGGGGCTGGCATAGGTGACCTCCTGAGGTCCCTTCCAACCCTCATTTTCTATGATTCTAGGCTCCTGAGTCAATTAATGCTGTTCTATGAATGGGGGCTGGACACAATTTCTTCTATCACAAGTCTGGGAGGTCTTTGTACCACTCCCAGTCTTGGAAGCAAGGGATTATGATTGGAATCCAAACATGTCAACTCTGTTCTTTCTGTATATTGTAAGCCATTATATTTCACCCAGTTCCTCTATGTTGAGCCCAATAATAAAGGTTAGAGTCAAATATTTCAGTCCTCAGGAAATGAACATGCCACAGACAGTGAACATGAATGTCTGTGGTGATTTTGGTGCCTGAAACTCCTGCAATGGCAGAGAATTGATTAGGTTGGATATGCCCCTCTGAGTGCCCTGGCCCTTCACATTGCTACCACTGCATTACTTAACTGGCTGCAATATGGCTTTTTGACATGAGAAGAAAAAAGATAAGTGTTTAGTGAGCGCTCTTGCAACATGCACACTTGGGCAGAGTTGATTGCTCCCAGGCGCTGCATTTGAACATGTGCCCAGGACCATAGCACCTTGTGGTGGGTCAGTGCAGCTCTGGCTGGCAGGGGATCTGGGGGGTCAGCCTGCCAACCCAGGACTGCTCTGCCCCAGCTCAATGTGCAGCAGAGGGACTGGCTGGGGCACGAGGGTGCTCCAGTTCAGGGCTAGCCAGCAGGCATTCCCCACAATGAAGCACCCTTATGCCCCAGCCAGCCCCGTCAGCATCTACATGTGTGTTGCTGTGCTCTAAAGAACTCCACTGTAAAATCATAACTGTGTTTACAAGTATTAACCTGTGGCGGAGTTAATTAGTTTCTTGTGGCCTAATAGAGCTGCACGTGTAGACGTTGAAACTATATTGTGGAGCTAATTAGGCTGCTCTGCAGTAAACATCTCATATAGATGCACCCCCTGTCCATTCTTTCAGAAGTTGCAGCTCTTTTTTGTCTTCACTCTTTCTTAGTGAACTGGATTACCATGATTCTGTAAGCGTCAATGATCGATGCCAGAAGATATGTGACCAATGGGACAAACTGGGAACACTTACTCAGAAAAGGAGAGAGGCATTGGAGGTAAATTGTACATCAACAAGTTGCTGGGGTTTTTTTAATGAAGCCCTAGGGCTCAGAAAAGATCCACTATTGATTTTTAATGCCCAAAACCCAGACTGTAATAACCCCTTTCCTCATTTTTCCACTTCAATTTGCTGTGGTTTGATTTGCAAAATACATTTACCTACTTTTAACAGATTTAACAGTGATCTGCTGACAGATGTGATTATAGGGCAGGAACAAAATGAATTTCTCTCTCAAGAGGTGGCTTATAGCACCACCCTTTGGATTGGTACCCTTATGATACCCTTATGATGCCTAAACGTGATATCCATTAGGCAACCACTCTTCTGTATTTGCTTCAACAAAACTCAGATTGAGAGGCAAAATAAAGGCAACGGTTTTGTAGACTTTTGGATGACAGGGATTCCTAGGCAGTGAGATCCATCTTTATTCAGGTTATATTTACATTGATTTTAGGATTATAGGAAAGTAGGGTCAGAAAGAACCTCATGATGTCACCTAGTCCAGCTCCCTGCTCAAGGCAGGATCATCCCCTGAGGAAGTGTGGGATCAATACTACCCCTACCCACCTATATCTTTCTACAGTATGTTTAGAACTTCATTGCACATTGTTCAAATCCAGAAAGTCCATCAGAAGCAGCAATGCATTCCCCTGTTCCTGAGAGCTGGCCCTTTTATATCCCGCTCTCTGTCTCTGCTGCCCATAAGGAGAGAGAGGTCTGTAAGCCAGTTCCTAGAAGGGCTCCTCTTTGCAAATAAGAAGCATGATATAGATGGTTATGCTGCTGGCTACAAGGTGTGATACAAACAAGGAAAGGCAGGTCATATGGCTCAGATTTTTAGAATAAAATCAACGGCAGGGTTGACCCAAAAATAGCTGTGTAAACATTCCTTGAAATCCCTAGGTTGTGTCTTCCTGGCTTCCACTGAGGGCAGAGGGAGGCAAGGCTGAAATTTAGCAAATGTGCTACTATTCCTTTTTATATATGAAAGAAATGACCAACTAATATTACATTAGTAGAACTGAACTTGTTTTCATGTAGGTACATTAAAATGAAACACTTTAAATAAAAAAACTGCAAAAAAATTATGTACTCCCAATCCTTTTTTCCAGAGGGTTAGGCAGAGGCTTAGTTTTATGGAATTTTAATATGCAGGTAACTTTAATGTGAGTAGTCCCACTGACTGCAGTGAGAACCATTAGGTGTCTTAAATCGGAGAGCCAGAAATGATTGGTCACTTTTGAAAATGGAGGACATGGCAAAAGGAACACTAAAAGCGTATGTTAGCTTGCACTATAACAACAATGAATTTACCTGTGTACCTTTGGTAACTTTAACAGAGGACAGAGAAGTTGCTGGAAACAATTGATCAGCTTTACCTGGAATTTGCCAAAAGAGCTGCTCCTTTCAACAACTGGATGGAAGGTGCAATGGAAGACTTACAGGACATGTTTATTGTTCACAGCATAGAGGAAATTCAGGTAAGTGGGAGCACGTTTTTAGTTTACAATTCTAAAGAAGGGCTTTTTCTCTAATCAAGAGAGGAATCCTTGTCTTCTTGCGGCATGAATACATATATAAAAGAGAAAATATATCCTATCTTGAAATTATCTTTCTAGGAGAATATCTTCTCTGTTGTATAAGCCTTTTCTATAAAGAAAGATGAACTGCAAGAAGAAATGGCCCTTTCAGGAAAATAGGCCCAATATTTTCCCCTTGGAAAGAATTCATAGCCAGAGATCTAGAAGGCAGAAATACAAATATAGCTGACTTGTAAAAATCATTTTAAGGGATTCATTTTGTTTTTCTTAGGCTGTAGTCAAAATCAAAATTACAGTAATACATTTGTGCAACTGTACTGAAAGGATGCTGTCAGGTATTTACTACCTACATGTAGATCTGGATCCTGCATCATAATACATTAGAGAGGGACTGCTCAACGGTGGCAGGTAACATGCAGTGGGGGGAGGCCCTGGAAGACTTTTTGCCACCTGTGCAGCATGGGCGGGGGGCTATGTGCTGGTAACACAGTCCATGTGGTGGGGTGAATTCCTGGGGGCTGTCCCCACAGCATGGGCTTCTGCGGCATGTGGCCCCCAGCAAGGGTGTCAGTTTCATGTCCTCTTCCCCTACTCAAAGACAATATACGTGTGGGATAAAATCTCAACCCTATTGACATTAATGGGAAATTTCCCATGGAATTTGTTTTCCATGGAACTTGAATTCAAATTGGGATCTCTTTGGGTATGTACAGAAGTGCTCTATGCACCTTTTACAGTGCTGTAATTTAGAGCACTTTTTATAGCACTGTAAAGTTATAGTGCTCTTAAATATGACAGAAGAGCGGGTTTTGGTTGCGGGGGGGGAGTGGACTCTGAGCCTCCCTGCGCTTTCCAGGCTAGGAAGCAGGGGGCACTCCGCAGTCTCCTGGGGCTTCTCTACTAGTCAGAAATTTGACCAGCATACAGAAGTTATTTAAAATACAGTGCTTCAAATTTAATACCTCAGTTAACAAGGGTTAATTTAAAATGCTGTACCCATTTAAACTGCTGTAAAGCCATGCACTTTTGTTAAGTCATGGCAATAAAGTGCTTTAAATGGTGAAAAAAGAAATTCTGTACACAGCCTTCAGGTCACTGAAGAGAAAATTTGCAATGAAAGATTGTAGTATAAAGACTTCCTTGGACCAGTTGATCATATTTTGCTGGTGTTGAAGTAGTTAAGAGACAGTAGCAGGATAAAATGGCACATTTATTAAACACCTGTTTTTCTAACAACACTTGAGTTTAGAAAAACTGCAAATTTAAAAAAAAGATTATTTTTTTTTTACCTGTCAACCTTTCTCAGTGAATGAATGGTAATACTAAGTGGTCCAGTTTCACTTTTTATGCATTAGCACAAATATTAGATTTTCAGTATTGCAAATAACTCTCTCTCTCTCTCCCTCTCCCCTTTACCATCTCCCCAAATAAAAATAATTGCATTTACATTTTAATGAATTGCAACTTTTCTACTGAAATACTTAGGTGTGTTAGTCTGACAGCAGACAGGCTGTCAGCTAACTAGTTCAGAGGGGCATGAGCTTTTATAGGCAACAACCTATGTCATCAGATGCTAGGAACGGACTGCAGTCCATCAGAAAAAGTAGACTGTTGCCTATGAAAGCTTGTGCGTCTCTGAAAGAGTTAATGTATTTATATCAGGCGTTCAACACCACAGAACTGTGATTCTAATGTACAATCCTAATGCTATCCCTCTTTGTTTCTGATTTCAGAGTTTAATCACTGCCCATGAACAGTTTAAAGCCACTTTGCCAGAGGCAGATGGTGAAAGACAGGCTATCCTCTCAATCCACAATGAAGTTGAGAAAGTTATTCAGAGCTACAACATGAGAATAAGTTCAAACAATCCTTACAGCACTGTCACTCTGGATGAAATCCGCACCAAGTGGGAAAAGGTACTGTACGCTCAAGTGGAAAGACTGTTGCATGAATACTGTTTTCATTTATGAATAATGAGAATGTGCAGAAAACTTGGCTGCAGTAATTGTGAATTTTCCACACCCTGCCTTGACTCCCCATTGCAAAAAACAAAACAAAACAAAACAAAAAACCCAACATTTAAAAAAAATCTCCAAATGATCCCATAACACTCAGGAGGATCTGTGTCTGTTATCCATGTGTAAACACTTCAGGAACATGCCCAGGATGAATTTTTTGTATTAAAAAATCATTGTTAGTCTGGACACAAGACAAGATATGGTAATGTGAAATAAAGTTACTGACCAGAAGAAGCTTGGATGTGATTATGGATAGTATGAGTAGCTGGTGAGAGAAGAAATATGTATTTAGAAAATGTCAAATGTATTTAACATTGCTAATCAGGCTTCAGTTCATTTGTAGAGAACAAACTTAGTAGGTCATTTGGATAACTGATATGGGATTGAGAGGAGAACTTGGCCCCCATCTTAGTTTTTATTCTATAAAGTGTATTTGAAACACATTTTAAATGTTAGGTAGGGGTGCATATCTTAAATTTACTTATGAAGTAAGATTACAATAACCTGAATTGGAATTGCTTTCTTCATTCATATGGCTATATAGACTGCAAATACATATTTCAAGAAACCAATTGTGCTCCTTTTGAAATTAAATGAAAACCTGCCAGGCATTTAGGTGGGTACTGGATCAGTTTCCTGATCTGCTTTTGGAAAACACTTAGAATACAAAGAATAACCAAGAATATTCACATCCATACAAATACACAGCATACAGTGCAAACCATGGAAAGCTGATCTGAGCAGGTTATAAGGCCAAAGCATTGACCCCCAAACTCAGATTCCATTTAACAACAATGCATTGTAGGCAAAAAACAAATTTCTAGAGTTCACTTACTTAGACTCATCTATATTCAAACCAAGCCCATCATATCTCTTTTCAACCTATCCTAGTGGCTCTGCTTAAATGAAATCCTGTGTGCCAATTAAAGCTAAGTGAAGTTGATAGAAAGTAAATTTGATCAGAATGTGTTTCAAAAGCTAAAAAACCAAAACCAAAAACTGAAACCCAGCAACAAAAACCCCAAAAGAACAAACCTGTGGTGACAAAATAAAAGTTAAATAGTCTTAAACTTGAATGCAGGCAGAAGTAAGATTTTCTTTGACTTAAAATTTCATCTTTCTGGTCACATTCCCAGCTTTAGTTTCAAGTTACTAAAGGAATGTTGACAATGACATGCTCTATACAAAAAGGGGTTTGAATTGCTCAGGGGAGCCACCCAAGGCACCTTCTACTGTATGACTTCTGTTTTCAAATTGCACTTGAAATGGAAAAATTTGTGATCAACTTCAAAAATCAGCATCTACCAGGTCATGCTCTATTATTTTTAGAAATGTGATCTGATCTGAGTTACTCGTATTCATCCTCATGCCTTTGGCACCCTGGCAGGTGAAGCAACTTGTGCCTGTGAGGGATCAAGCTTTACAGGAGGAGTTAGCTCGTCAGCATTCTAATGAACGTCTTCGTCGCCAATTTGCTGCTCAGGCCAACGTCATTGGACCATGGATCCAGACCAAGATGGAGGTGAGTACCACTCAGGTTGTGAAGAAGGGGTGTCTGTACACACAGCATATTGGTGGCCTGGACTGCAATGCTCTGGCGCTCCAAGCAATTTTTTAGTATCTGATGAAGTAAGCTGCTGCTTGTGATAGCTTATGCATCCCTCATTTAATTAGGCTATAAAGTGCAAATCTACCCTGCCTTCTGCCAGTCAAACAAATGCAATCAACTCCTTTAAAGGATTTGAAAGCAGTGAGAGATCATAAAAGCTAATAAAAGCTCTCTAGCTAGATTAGATTAGTTCTTTCAGAAGAAAATGAAAATAGTAGAATGGAGATTTTTAAAGGCCCAAAGTGTTGATAGTTAAATGGAGTTGTACCTTTGAAAATCAGTTCCTAGAAGATGATGATTATTACATCAGTTGTGATCTTGTCACAAAGACAGCATGGCCCTGATGTTACCTCCAGAGGTAAGTGTGCATCTCCTCTGAGGAGTGTAATTCAGGGTAGAATATGTTCTTTTTGTGCAGAGGATTATATTGTTGCCAACTCTTAGTATGAAAACATTGCTTTTTCATGTAAATGGTTGGCAAATCAATAAACCTGCAGCTTAATTCTTTTATTTGTTTCCATGTATAGGAAATTGCCCGCAGCTCTATTGAAATGACAGGGCCCTTGGAGGACCAGATGAATCAACTGAAGCAATATGAGCACAATATCATCAACTACAAAACAAATATTGACAAGCTGGAAGGAGACCATCAGCTTATCCAGGAAGCACTAGTTTTTGATAACAAGCATACCAACTATACCATGGAGGTAGCTATGAATTCACTTCTGTTCTTGTCAGGCATTCTGTTATCAGATTCATTATAACCTCCCTCCCTGATCTGATGGGGATCTAAAACAAGGCAGAATTTACCAGACTTTTAATTTATTAGCAGTAGAAGAAAAACAGATTTCTAAGGTTCAGTTTGTTTTGACTGTGATTTTGTGATTTTGTGATTTAAACAAAACTTTTCATTTTTTAAAACTAAAATACCATCTTATCTGGCCAGCCCAATGCTGAGGAAAGTCCTAGCCTTGCTGCTTGCAAGACTGGAAACCTACACTCCTGTTGAGGCTTTATTTTTGGGTGTATGGATTATTGACCAGGTAAATATTACTAAATATCTCTATTGGAACATAAAGGCTATTTCTTTGACTTCTTTAATAATTTCTTTTGACAAACAACTTCATTTTCTGAAATAGAATCTTTCCTGGCTCCGTTCATTCTTTAATATCAAGACTTTTCTACCATGAGAGCACTAAGTTTCTTTCATTTTTTTCATTTATTTCCCATGACAAATAAACAACCTTACAATGAAGGCTGCAAACCTGCCAACACTTACATCTGAGGCACTTTCCACACTAAGTTTTCCCATGAACTAAATGAAACTACCTAGGTGCATAAAGTGACTCATCAGTTTTAGTGTTCAAAGAGTTTGGGGCCCAAGGTAAGAAAGTGATTTTAACTAGAAAGTTTTAGAGACGGACAATGTTGTGCCAGCCAAATACTTCCCAGAATTAAGCCAACGCTCTTGAATCCAAGTGTTGTAATCTAAGACAACAATGGATTATGTAGCTAAAATGGGCATTGTCATCAAGCATTGAAACAGGACATGAATAGATATAAGTTTAGGAAAGAATTCCATGTTTTTCTGTATATCACCTGTGTGACCGGACAGTAGGGGGTGCTCCTGCACTGAGCCACCTACTCACTGCACCCAACCACCTTCCAGGCTCTGAGTGCCTCCCTGGGGGTGCCTCATGTCCAGCTGACCCCCTTCCTGGAGCACACACACTAGGCTGGGGATAGAGCTGCCACCACCCAGGGACAGGCTTGATTCTGGTACTGCACCCCCTGGGAAACAGGTCTAGCAGCCCTCAAGGGTACTTGACTCACTTCAAGAACTTGGGGTGCTTCCCTCAGCTGAAAGCACAAGTAGTGGTCTCCCTTAGTCAACCGAACCAAGGGGACCCCAAAGCATAATCTAGACCCACTCCCAATAAGTCTCCCATGCTAGGTACAAAGGAAAACTTTATTGGTTACAAGGAGTAGGGTTGGAATAGGGTACAGAGTTGAGTAGTATCAGATAAATCCCATAGATAAATTCCTTAGTATCAGATAAATCCCATAGAGCAAACAGGGTGGCTGGAGTAGCCTCTGATCACACATCTGAGTTACTGCAAGCTATATATCTAGTTAGATCTCAGGTACCATACTCACAAGTATCATCCAGAAGCAGATGGAGATTCCCTCTGGAAGCAGGCAGTTCATTGATCATGAGTTTTGAGAGAGAGAGCAAGTTTCAGATAGTCCAGCTCTTCTCTCTCTGAGTTTTCATCATGGCTACTGCTGCTCCTCCTGGGCAGTCCTTAACTTATATAGCCCTTATGACCTCATTTACCTGGTCCAATGGAGGCCAGCACCTGTTGGCTGCCAGCCAACCAATTTGAAATGCATCAGTGGTTGCTGGGCAGACTGGCAGTCTCTAGCCCACTAGAGAGCCAAAGCCCCAGAGCCCAAGCCCCTCACCCAGGTATATGATGCCAGTCACGTAGGCAGAGGGAACAGGTCCCCCCCCTCCCCAGGAATGTATCCAGCTCAGGTTACCTAAAGAGATAGGGTCAGGTGTGTACCCTCTGCAGGGCCCATACTAACCTAATTGTCACAGAGCAGAGTTTTGGGGAGAACCAGAGGTGGCCTTCTGCTACAACCTGTACTTCCGATGTATTCATAGTAATAGTCTAGAGCTAACAAGCAACTCTCCATATAAATATTTCAGCTGCCATTGTTTTCTCTTTTACTTTCCTTTTTGTAATCTAAATAGCTGTGTTTTAGGACTAATTTGAAGAATCTGTGTGTCCTCTCCTATAGCATGTCCGTGTTGGATGGGAACTCCTCCTGACCACCATTGCCCGAACTATCAATGAAGTGGAGACTCAGATCCTTACAAGAGATGCCAAGGGTATCACCCAAGAACAAATGAATGAATTCAGAGCATCCTTCAATCACTTCGATAGGGTACAGTACTCCTACATCTTCTATACTTCCCAAAAGCAAGTTTCTCTGTATTCTAAATGTCACTGTCTTAAGAAAAATCCAAGATGCACTAGAATAAATAATTTAATGAGTAATAAAGAAAAATAAAAGAGGAGTCTCATTCTCTTAAAATCATAGTATTGATTATATAGATGATTTAAAGATAAATTTCTGTTCAAGTTTGATATATAATGCAGAGCAAAACAGCTGATTCAATATTTGCAACAACCTATTAAAAAAAAAAAGAAAATAGGTAATGGCATATGATACACAGTGATGTAGTCCCTTACATTAAAGCATTAGCGTGTTATATGCTTTCTCCCAGTACCAATTCCTTCCATCAACAGGTTGTGCAGAATTGCTTGCCTTGACCCTCTGGGGCCACTGGTTTTAAACCAGCTTTGGCTTCAGAGATTTGCACACACACCCAGGCCACACATCACACTAACTAACACTGAACCCATTCAAGGCTCAGTGCCTTTTCCCTTTCATCTTTATCCAATTAGCTGAATTGTTAATCCCACTCCTGAAACCAAATTGGTTTACATGCACCTGGATTTATTCTTGTATACATTGGGATAGTCACCTGGTACCCGGCTTTTCAGAGAAAAACAAAACTTTCTGCATTAGAGGCAAACACATAGGTGTTTATACATGTGCTTTGGGAGAGTGGGGAAGACACTTTAATTAGAGCAACTCCGAGAGCTGCTCTAATTAAAGCACCCAGAGCATCTCATGTGTCAGCATCCCCGCGCTTAAAGCTTTTTGAACGAGCTTTAGATAAAGTGCCCCCACTGCCATTTTTAAGCACAGGGATGCTGATGCACGAGATGCTAGGGGCTGCTGGAGCACGGTAATAATTACCATACTCCAATGCACTGTAATTATAGCATGTTGGAGCAGCCTCGCTGCTCGTGTATAGGCGCCCATAAGTTAAAAGAGGGTAGATCACAGGAGTTAGTGATAGATTTTATGGAAAAAACTAAATATAATTGTAGTGCAGTGTAATTCCTCTTTCCATTCAGTAAGAAAGCAGAGGATAACATCCTAGAGACAATAAATTTCCCAGGGTAGGAAGCTAAAAGGCTTTTGTAGTGCACTGGAGCAGATAATTGAGCAATTAGAGACATTAAAAGCAGACAAGAACATCAGGCCCAGATTTATTACACCATATAGTTTAAGTGAATCTATTAAAAAAAAGAAGTAACTTTTCACAAAGATGGCCTATCACAGTAGAACTTGCACTGTGAAGTCCGGGAGTCCTCAAATTTTTGCTTGCTCCCTAGATAACATGGCTGAGGAGGTAAAGCATAGTGGGCAACCACATCCCATGTGAGCCATGTGTTAGGGGCCACTGGTGTAGCCACTTCTAGCAGTTAGCTCACATGAATTTAGAAGGGTGGCTTTTTGCCCCCCTAAATAGCAGCAGCTCCTGCTCCAATGGCTTTGAGGGGATAGCATGGAAAGCTGGTGAAGTGCAGGCTGTGGTAGCCACACGAATGTACGGCCATGCTCTTGGTACTTCAGGAGGCATGAAGATTATATGGAGAAGCAAAGCTTTATGGGAGCCAACTCTTTTGTTACAGAGCTTCCACCTTTTCAGCAACCAGCAATCAGACCTAGAGATTCTAGAGGAAATAATACACAAGCATAGCAGCTGTATGCAGTGGGCCAAGAGCAAGGTGGTGCTTTGACAAAGATTTATGCAGGGTAGAAGGGGCCAGGCCCTAAGGAAAGAAGGTAAAACCAGAGGACTAGAGAGTAGTTAATATTCACCAGTGTGAAAGTTTAAGAAAGGAAAAAGTAAAATGCTAAAATACCCAGCTATTAAAGCAGTCTTCCTGCATGGACAGATAGTGGAAATGCTGATAAGAGTGAAGGTTGCATGGATGAATTAAAGTATAATTTAATGGGAAGATGTGATTCAGTTGACAAAGGTTAGGAGGCAGCGATGTTTTTTTTCCATTGAGCAAACTCATTTGAGAGACTGAAGATGCTTTTTCAATTTTATATCTTCCCTTCAGTCCCACACACTTAAATATTCTGTCAGAGGATAAAAAGTGTCAACTCAGCTTCAGAGTTTATTTAGGTATACTTGAGAATAGATTCTCTAAGCTGGATATTTAGACAGATACGGCAGAATTATGAAATCCTTTGCCTTGAATTGAAATGAAGGGGAAACTGGGTCACCTGAATTTGGCCCTAAAAACATGAAAAGCATCATATTCTCCCTGTAAGACAAAATGTTGGTTTTACTTTTATAATAAATCATTCTATTGTTTCAAACAGTGGTTTTATGTATGATGTATTTGTACAAATACACTGAAAGAATTAAAATGTAATTCGCAATGACAAACATTTAGCAAAGATCCAAAATATTAATATAATGCCTGATGAGTAGACTTTAAATATATAAACACAACAGGATCATTAATGAATGTCTTAGCTTAATATTTCTTGGCAGTTTTTCAGTTTAAACCAAAATCTAAACTATAAAGCTGTGTTTGTGTGAATATTATCAAAGTACTAATTTGCAAGAGTTACTAACTGCTCCTCATTTATTTTGAGATGCATGAGACTAACAACTGTTTATAGACTACCTCCAAGGAGAACTTCATGTAGTTATAGATTTGAGAGGGGAATCCATTATTACATTTCTAGGAAAAGCAATTACAAATAAACAACAGCATAATTATATTGTAGTGCAAAATCTGTTACCATTAAAAATAGATTTTGCAGTCCTTCCCTCTCTGAATGAAGGTCTCAGGATTAGGCCCGCATTATTTTGAATGGCTTCTACATGGGTGGAGCTTACCATATCTTGTTCAAGGCTGTGCCTGAAGGCACAATCTAGTTCTAAGTATGGACATTCATGATCTGCGGAGCTGGTATATTTTCTCTGTCTCTTCAAATTTATTGCAACAGGAAATAAAAAGCATGGAGGCAAAATTCACTTTAGAGCTGAAAGTTTTTTTTGGTGCTCAAAGTGATGTACAAGTGATTTTTCATAAACAGAAATTGGAATAGTGAAAGGTATATTTGGCAATTGGCAACTCTCAGTTCTTTCTTGGTTTCCACATGTCATGTTAATGGTAGAGGTTCTTATTTCTGATTTGATGCAGTTCAATAAACACTACACATGATTGCAAAGTATATGATTATCTACTGTAGCTATATATGCAATACCAGGTGAAGTTCTTGTTTCCCTGGTCAGAGGAAGTGACTCTGAGCCAAAGTCTACTTTTTGTGCATACCACAGACTTTAAATGGGAGCTTTGCATGGAAAACAATAGCAAGATTGACACTGTATTTTACCTAACAGCTTCCTCTAAAACAATACATGTCAGTAAACTCATACAGATAAGTTAACATTCATTTGAGGATGCATTACTTTCGCTTAGAATTTTGTCTTTGTAGAAGGCCACATATAAATCAAAGAGGGAAAAGGACAAGTTTTAGGAGATTAATAATGAGACAAGATAGGAGATTTCAGTGTTTTGTTCTGGGTTGGAAGGGAAGGATGAAGAAGGCAAAGTTACTTATATCCCTTTAGAACTCATGTAAATGTTTAATGTTAGCTTGTAAACAACACAAATAATATAAAGAAACTTTTCTCCATAAATGAGGCATTACATTATAGTTTAAAACAGGGAAAGCAATAGAATGAGATCTATGACTTCATTGTAAGGTATCTTCATATAAAGTGCAATTGTGTTTTCAAGAGTTTTCAAGAATAAGTTAGACAAACACTTGGCTGGGATAGTTTAGTCAGGAACAACCCTGCCTTGAGCAGGGGGCTAGACTAGATGACCATGTGAGGTCTCTTCCAGCCCTAATTTCCTATGATTTTATGTTTATTTGACGTGTGGCATAAAAAGGGATGTATTTTAGACCAGGATCAATGCATGTTACAAAATTCATGAAGCCTCTGATGTTGCCTTAATACTTGGTACAAGCAGCCATGCCCAGCTCACGAAGTGGATACTAACTCCGGCATCACATTTGTTTCCCTCTACACACCTGTTCAGGGAATGATTGATAGATACACGTAGCTATGGATTCATAGGTCTTGCAACCCCTGCAGTGTGCCCTCATATGTCTGCTGTACAATAAGGGCTGGGTTGTACAAAAAGCAGGGGCACATGCCAATACTGTCCACCACCAAACTTGGTCAAACAGTCCTAATTCCCCCATAGTCTGGCTCCAATGGGCTCAGAGAGAGTGGGAGAGGATTTAACTATTAGTTCCTGTCATGTTTTTTATACTCTGCTAGGCCTTATAAATAAAGTTGAATATGTGAATTCACTCCTGGTATAATTTTCTCCCGGAGCTGATCCAGAATGAGCTTGGGGAAGAGAGAAATCTTGGAGGCATTGTAGATAGTTTTCTAAAAAAATCTGCTCAGTGTGCAGTGGTAACCAAAAAAAGCCCCTAAAATGTTGGACATCTTTGGTAAGTTGGATTTATTAATAAAGAAAGTTTAAAAAAGTATTGGGCATCATTAAGAAAGGAATTGAAAGCATGCAACTATAGAAATCCATGGTGTATCCACATCTTGATCACTGTGTGGTGTTTTGGTTCCACATTTCAAAAAGGACGTAGTAGACTTAGAAAAGGTACTGACATGATCAAGGGGATAGAGCAGATGCCGTACCAGGAGAGACTAAAAGGGCTGGGATTCTTCACTTTGGAAGGAAGAAGGCTGAGCGGGGAGATGATAGAGTTCTATAAAATCATGATGAGTATGGACAAAGTGAATGGGGAATTGTTATTCATGAAGTCCTAGAATGCTAGAAATAGGGGGCACCCACTGACATTAGCAGGAGAGAGGTGTAAAACTAACAAGATAAAATATATTTTTTTGTATGGCATGTCGTTAACTTGTGGAACTCATTAGCACAGGAGGTTGTAGAGACAGATAGGATATCCAGATTCAAAAAGGAATTAGACAAATTTGTGGGTGGTAGATCTATTAATAGCTATTAAGCAGAGCAGTCAAAGATATATCTGCTGGCATGTCTGAACCAATGATGATGGATGCCAGGAGGGTATGACAGGGGATAGATTACTCTATACACTGTGTATATGCTATCCCACTCAAGCATTCACATCTGCCGTTGCCAGAGACAAGATACTGAGATAGATGGACCATTGGTCTGACCCAGTATAGCACTTCTTATGTTCTTATGAGTTATGAGTCAGAATGGATTGGCGTGTTCGGGAGAGTCTGTAGTAATTGTTTGAAATAGGGTACTTCACAGCAAACATTGTCCCATTAATTATGGCTGAATTTAAAGGAAGCACTTGATTTGTCTTCATTCATTTCAAGAAACCCTGTTCAAAATTTTCATCCCCAACCTATCTGTAAACATTGGCTTTGTACTGCTGCCTCTCATCTGCACTCTGTGGAGCTGTGGGAGATTAATGGCAGATGGAACAAATGTTACAACATCACTATTTTTCTAAAAATGTTGGGAGACAGGAACTGATCTTGGTACCAGTGTATTTTTTAATGCATCCAATACCTCTCTCAGACCATGTATGGTTTTAACAAATATAAGTATATAGGAGTCTCCTTTCAAAAATAGATCATTAACCCACTGACCCAAGTTCTTTTTCTCTCATGTGGAAGCGATAGAAAAAAAATTGGGCCTAGCACAGTTCTACAAGTGGTCAGTCTTTCAGACCATCAAAGGAAACTACTTGCAGAATTTGGAGACAAACCTTAATGGCATGCACCTTAATTAAATCCGTAAATACCTTAATTGGTTCAGGGATTATGTTTGATGTTCAGTCCAGAAACCAGTCTGTTTTTCAGAACTCAACATACATTTGTTGGGCTAGTTGTTAGAAAAGATAAGTAACTTAGGAAATTGAGCAAATTTGATTTGGAGTCACTGGGAAGTTAAACTTGCCCTTTTTATAGTCCATATTCAAAGCAGACTCTGCTTTAAGGTCATAAAAGGAGACAAATTACATGACTGATCAGGTGTTCTTTTGCATTTAAGCAAAAATAAAATTCTTCTCTTTTATTCCATTAAAAAAATCAAATCAAGAGAGTAGTAACAACCTTAATAGAATGGCTTTGTTTAGGTCAAGTTATCCATTGACTCTATCTGCTATAATGGGCAGACAAACATGTGCTTCAGGTCCTTCCTTTTTTAAGTACTTTTCATCTGGAGCACTTCCATAGTCTACATATGTACAACTGCCTGTGAGGCACTTCAGTGTTATCCTGTTTTATTCAGGGTCATTTTTCATACATTTTAAAGCCTTTTTCTGTAGCCCTATAGCACTGTGCTTCATCTGCCTGCTCACTTTCTATAGCACTTCAGAGGTATTTAAAACTACTATAATCATTATGTCTGTCCATGCCCATTATATGGTATGCCAACAGAAAATGAAGGACAAAACTAGTAGCATACAGGAACAAAACATTTAGAGAAAATGTGTGTTTAGAAGAGTGGGGGGTGAATTGGTTTTTACATAATAGTGACATTTCAACATTGCAGTTGGAGTAAGAACAAGAAAAGCAATGGGAACAAATATGCTACTGTAATTTTCAAATCATTCCAGCAATAGAGTGCTGCATATATACACAATGATGGGTCTGATATGAACTCATTATTGATAGGACTTCTGAGTGTTCTGCAATACCCAACTAACCTGATTTGTGACTTTTTCCCCTCCTTTTACCTGCTGCATGCATGACCCCTGATGTGATGCTAGGATGAATCTGGAAATCTGCGCTCTGATGAATTTAAAGCCTGCCTCATCAGTCTCGGACAGGTTGGAAATGACCGGCAGGTAGAGGAAACTGATGAATGACTGTTTTCAGATAGATTGGCATAATAATAGCCTGAAGAGGGTGTGGATTTTATCTCCATTGTATACAGTTTTGTCATCTGCTGGTTTTGTTTGATTCAAGATTGTTTATTTGGATTCTGATGAATAACAATGGAGGTGCTGCTGCCTTCCCCATCTCACACATCACTGCCAGTTGTTCATTGTTCACACTTCCAGGCATGAGCTCTCCTTTGTGCTCAGAATGACCCAGTATAAGCAGGGCGCTCTGCAAAGCAGTGAATTAGGTTAGAACACAGAACTGGCCAGTACAAGTAGACTTTATCTTACTTCTGTCTTAAATATTTCTTACCATCACCCCATTTCAATGACCATTCTCAGCAACAGGCGATGTGTGCCGCCCTTGCCTTGCTACTCAGAACTGGGTGATGGTAAGAAACCTGCTTGTGGCCAGACCTTTGCTGGGTATAGAACAATTTACTTTTTTCCATTGACCTCACAGACTCAGATCTCTGCTGAAAACTGGATCCCATTAGCTAGTTGTTAAAGGAAAGAAAACTCTTGTTTCAGCACACAGTTCAGTCTGCCTGGGCTCTGGGGTACAATAGTTTAAACATAGAGGAATTAACTTTTTTCCAGTATGCCTTTAATGTGTCACTAGAGGATACTACAACTTCTGATAAATATTTCAACACTGAAACCTTAAACTGTGTTGTATCACAATGAAACAGCCTACTTTTCATGACTTTGGCTATTTCAATGACAAACTTTTCTCCTTTGCCTTTCTCTCTTCTTTGGTTGTGCTCTGTGTGTTCATATGTTGTATTTGACCTCCCCTTCTTCTGGTATCATACCTTTTGATGTCTGTTTGACGTGTGTGATGTGTCAACTGTTTTAAATTGATGATGCTCCTCGTGACTCACTTTGGCAATGAACATCCTCTCATTCCATGGATCCAAACTTCTGCTGACATAAATTCATCATCTTTATGGAAATGGTGATGGTCTCCTACCTGTCTCTGATACCTCAAACCTTCCCTCCTGTATTCCTTATGCTGCTTTGATCAATAGAAGAAGAATGGGCTGATGGATCATGACGATTTCAGAGCTTGCTTAATTTCAATGGGTTATGATTTGGTATGAATTTTAAGATACAGTGAAATTCAATTTGTGTATCACTCATAATGTTAACCACAGCTGCCACAGTTTGCAACTAATCATATTTACACTTCAGATATTTTCTTTCTGCATTTTCTTTTATACTTTTAATGTCTAAAATTTTTTTTAAATATAGCTCTGAAAGCATTTTTCATGCTCTGTTGCATTTAGCTTCAATTTATAAAAAATATTCCTTTAATTTTACAGTTGATAAATTAACATATGTCTTTTCAATTTAAATGTATTATTTATTTTAAATCTCTCTGACACATTCTTGTAACTGAAAAATATTCCTAGAAATAAATGATTGCATTAGGAAGAATATTTTAATAATTTCTTTTGATAAATATGAACAGCAGAATAATTTGTGTAACTTCACATTTCAACATGTTATTGCCAGCAGTCCTGAAAATAGTTTCTGATGGGCAAAACCGCCATGTGATATTACTGGGTTTCCACAATAACAGATAAACAGTGCAGAATTGCTTCCAGGACCAGTGTCACAGAACCTGCTCCTCTTTTATGCTAAAAATTGAATTTTTTTACATAGATGTCAATGGGAGCCAACAGGGTGAAATAATGAAGGACTGAGTTAAAATCCTTCAATCCACCAAGCCATTGGTGAAAAAAAGACAGAAGAACAAAAGTATGTAGAAACAATTTAGAAAATGCTTTCAGAGTGGTAAAAGCTGCTGTCTTTTCAAGACAGGATATAATTTAAAAAACGTTTTAAGTCACACTTTTAAAGGTGATATAGACAGTATAGAACCTAAATCCTGTTAAATTTCCACAACATTTAGGTTCCTAAATTACTTAAGTGCCTTTAAAAAATTTGCCCCGAGTCTCTAGTAATATGCCATATATGTTGGAATTTGTATTTTGACAATGTCTTTTGAATTTTGTAAAAGGGTGAAGCAGAGTTTGCCCGAATCATGACCCTGGTTGATCCCAATGGGCAAGGAACTGTCTCCTTCCAGTCTTTCATTGACTTCATGACCAGAGAGACTGCGGACACAGACACAGCTGAGCAAGTCATAGCTTCCTTCAGAATCTTAGCTTCAGATAAGGTCAGTCCTTTTAGTGGTGGGCTCTAAGGATTTACCTGCACTTTACCTCTCTCTATTCAGAAACTCTGTTATTTAACCTTTCTTTGCTGAAAGTCTCATACAAAATCTTTATTTCTTGCTAGGTTCTCTTTTCAGGTAGTAAAACTATAGGATAAAGCTCTCACCTTTTATTCTTGTGCAGCAGGTTTGGACTTTGACCCAACTGCCTAACTAGAATGTGTGTGAAATTCAAAGCTTGCTCCTTATCCTTTCATCTAACAAAGCATTAGGAAAAATCCAACGTGTTACAGAGTTTATACTCCAGTGACACAGCCTACATATCTAGTGGGCATGCTATACTCTCACTCATATCCATGTGACAGGAGTGATTTGAGGGGTAAATCCCTTGTCATAAACTTCCTTATAACTTCTACTCACAGCCGCAGCTGGGCAATGCTGTAGAATTTAGCTGATTTTAAATGCGGTTTAGATCAGCTGAACAAACCACCAGTTACACCAAATCCTGAGCCAGATCACACCTTTATAACACATCTGTGTTAGAGGATGGCAGTGCTGCAGTGATGCCTTGCCACAGAAAAACACTGGGAAGTACACAGGCTCCTCAAAGCACTTGGTGCTCAGGATCAGTAACACGTTTCCAGAAGAAGGTGCAATATGCTTCCTTCAATACACCAGTTGGCAGTGCATGAGCTGGGGAAAGAGAGTGGAACTCATATTCTAGAGCAGTGGTCTCCAACCTTTTTATCCTGAAGATCACTTTTTGGCACCCCAGGATCTATTGCCCTGCCCCTGCCTCCCAGACAAGCTGCCTGGGCTCTGACCCCTCACCCAGCCCAGCCACGTGCACCTGCTGCTCCCAATCATGGAGCTTCTGACAGACTGACATTGACTGTCAGAGGCTCCACAATTGACCAGTTGATCGAGATTGACTGGTTGGTGACCACTGTTCTGGAGTAACCAGTAGATGAGACAGTGCTTGTAGGAAAAAAGCATCTGTACTCAGAACAGAACAGTGACTACTGTTGTAGGAGACTCAGTTTGGGCCTCTGTATTGATTCTGTGATCTCAGCTTGTAAGGGCCAGACTGATTTTTCAAACACTTTCCCACTAGAAGTTTGCTGTGAAATTCAGGTCACGGTCTCAAGAAAGCAGCATTAGTGCTTTATTCTACAAAACATAAACATCACACATGTTGTTAGTATATTTCTCTTTTAAATCATACCAAGAATAGTAGAAGGATGCCTTTTTATTGTTATAAATTGAAAGCAGGAACAATGACAGTGAATGCTTACTTATAGATTTACAATAGCACTGAAGTGTACGTAGTGCAAGAGTGATGTGATAACCAAGATGGTCCAAGAATTATGCGAGAGACAAGGTGATATCTTTTATTGGACCAACAATAAAAGATTCTATTGGTCCAATGAAATATATCACCCTAAGAAAACAGCCTCTCACACTGAAGTTATGAGCATATGATTGAAAGTATGTCTACATTGCTCTCACAGAAATCATGGAAGCATCCTATAGGCATACATGAGCCAGCTTTAAATTAGGTTGGGAACTGGTAGCAGTTTTACTGTGGCAGCACAGAGCTCAGCACAAGTTGAAATACCTGCTGAAAAGTGTGACTGCAAGGTAAACATACCCTGAGGGTAGACTTTGACCCAATCTGTTTTCTGAAGGGGTTAGTTGCACCTGCTCGTAGCTGAAGTTAAAACTAAGCAGAACTATTTTGGGGAGTTGAAAAACAGTTTATTAATATTACTGCTGTAAAATAAAGCCAAATAATTGATTAAATGGGATGCTTTGTACCTGCTTTAATGGTGGGGGGGGGGATTGTTTTTCAGCCCAATATTCTCGCAGAAGAGCTTCGTCGAGAGCTGCCTCCTGAGCAAGCTCAGTACTGCATCAAAAGAATGCCTCCCTACACCGGACCTGGTTCTGTCTCGGGAGCTCTGGATTACACTGTGTTTTCATCAGCACTGTATGGAGAAAGTGACCTGTAATTCTGTAATTGGCTATATTCACCCTATTCATTAAAACAAACAAACTGATTTCCCAGATAGCTTCTTGAAAGCTTTGACAAGCTGATTTTAAAATGAGTTTTTCAAATGTAGTAGGTACATTCAGTGTAAAATGCTAGATGCTAAGATAATTAGTGCATATTACAGTGTGAAGCACTTTTAGGTTTTTAGTTTGTTGGTCTTACACACAACATTAGAACATATTTTTAAAAAAGATATTAAATTCAGAAACTTCTGTGGAGAAAACAGAAAATAAAGCTTGTGAAAAAAATCAAAGCTATTAAATTACTATGACTCAAAATAATTTTGCCATGTTCAAAAATTCTTCATGCCATATGTGCTTCTTTTACAATGCACATGAAGTTGTATATTAGGAGTCACATTTTCTCATGCATATGAAAGTATCGTTTCTGCAGGTACAGTTTAATAAAATACAGCCAATCAGATAAGAGAGAAATGCCAATCAGATAAAATTCTTAGCCGCTAAAATAATGCAAGATTGTATGTTTGTATCTCTTCAAAGATGTTTTTCTATTGGAATAGAAATCTGTAACACCTGAAATCTAAGCCAGCTGGTTGATAATGAGTTAGTATAGTATAATGAGCAGTACTTTTCCTTTAAGCCTTTAACCTTGCAGCTGAGAGCAAACTTTTAGAAACATAGTAAGGAAATTAAGTCATATGAATTATATTGTTTTGAGACCCTTACCCATGCCTGTGTTGAGCGGATTCTTTGTTCCCTATTTTATTAGTGAGCAGCTTGCATCATCCCATGTGATTCAAACTCTTATCTGTACAAGCTCAGCATGATTGTGCTGCAGTTTCATCAATGCTCAGATTACAGTGTCTTCTGTCCAACAGTTCTTTTTTATATCCAGCTATGGTAGTGTAGTTGGTTTTACTGTTATTTTTTCATCTTTTAGTGAAGCAAAACAGTATTTTTGTATTTGAATCCTCACAGACATGGAGAAATGCAGTGTATTCAAATAAAAACATTCACAAATGGTGAAATAAAATGAGCTGTGCGGCTCAGTCTACTAAAGCAATGATGTGCCTACTAAATAAAATCTGCTTTTCAAAACTTTATGAGGATTCTGTCATGGGCATTTATTTAGTGTTTCTTGTAAATTAGTGGCAATAGTCATGCACATTAAAGCAGGTTTAGTTTTCTCCTTTTGCTTCAAAGTTAAAATATTTGATGCATCACTACAGTGTGGGTGGACAGGTCTAGGGCACTTGGGGATCAAGGTACTGAAGGGTTAGGATCAAGGTACAAGCGTTAGGAAGAATGATCTAATTCTAGGGACAACATTGTTCAGGAAACTAGGAGGTCAATTTGAGCACAGAGACTAGGAATAGGAGGAGCCAGGAAGCGAGGAGACCAAACAGAGAGCAGAGTTCCAGGACAAGCTGGAGGGAACAGCAAGGCAGTCTGGGATCAGGTTACGCTCACTAGGCTTGTTGTCCTATTTTGGGTCAGGGTTTTATATGGAGGAACTGGAGGGTCAGTTAATCCCAGACAGACACTCGGGTGCTGGTGAGTGGAAACAAATCTAGGCCCCACTGGACAGCTTTTATCAGGGTGGCATGCCAAGATGAGCAGCTCTTCTGATCAGGCAGAGGCCCCAAGTCTCTCTAAGTCAGGCTTGTCCAACATATGGCCCACGGGCTGCCATGTGGCCTGCCAAGCCATTTTATCTGGCCTGTGGTGGCGCTGCCACTGCCGCCACCACCATGGAGCGCAGAGCCACGGTGGTGCCACCATGAAGCCGCTGCCGCTGCCACAGGTCGCAGAGGCGGGGCAGTGGCAAGGCGAGGCAAGGCAGGCAGGGCCGGCTCACGGGCCCCAGCTGGCAGCAAGGGGAGGGGAGCTGCTTACCTCTGCAGGGCCAGGCTCATCAGTGAGACGGGTCCTGCCGCTGCTGCCCCGAGGGCTGCATGGCTCGGGGGCTGCCCCAGCCGCGCCTGATTAGACGAGCTGGGGACAGCGTGTGCAGCTTCTTCTCTAGCTCAGCCCCTTTCCCCCGGCACGTGGCCAGGGGAGCTGCAGCATGGCCCGTGCCCTGTCCGCATGCATGGTGGATGGAGGCACGGGTAAGTTCCTGCACGGAGCTGGGGGCGCTTTGGGGCTGGGCTGGGGCTGCAGGGTGCGCGGTTGCTGGAGCCAGGCTGGGCGGGAGGAGCCCGGCCCAGAGGTGCTCTATGTCCAGCCACAACTGCGGATCCTAATGCCCCAGCCCTTATTAAAAGTGGGAGCAGCTGGTCTGGTGCACCATGAGGACTACACTAGATGCGCTTTGCTCAAAAGCAGGCTGCCAGCGATTGAATCACTGGAATCTTATGAGGGTGAGAGGCTGCATGCGGGTCCCTTGACACTTTGGTGGGTGAGTGTTGCCTGTATGTGTGTTGGGTGTGGGTGCAGGGGTCCATATGTGAGGGCAGCATTGGGGTGAAAGGGTCAACAAGGAGTACGTGTGTGGGAGGGTTCATAGTGATGTGGAGGGGGCTGGGAGTGGGTGTAGGGATGAATAAGGGGTGCATGTAGGGAAGGGTATAGGAAGCATGTGTGTAGGAGGGAAGAGGGGGTGTTGGGAACACCTGTAGGAATGAGTAGGGAGGTGTGAAG